CTACAGTGCTTGGCACGAGAGGGCTGCACAACAGTCACAGCAATTAACAAACTTGTTGATGCCATTCCTGCCGCTCGCACTCCGGTGGTAAGGTTACAACAAAGTTGTGTACCCTTGGCCTCTGTTGAACTGCACTGACACATTGGCTCTTGGCTCCTGCTCGTATAGGGCTTCTTGGTCAAGCTTCCGCACTAGCATGCTTAGCATGCAGCTTGTCCATCCGACAGCCCTGCACTACACCTCCGCAGATTGCTGTGCGCAAGCTGCACGAACAGCAGCGTGGTGCACCACTTTATCCTCGCAACAGCTCCAAATAGGCGGAACTCTCAATGCTTTGAAATCCAAGCCACGGCAAAGCAGCAAAATGCAACGTAGAGCGTGAAGATCAACGACCACTCCCAGCCAATGCCACTGAGAGCATCAGCAGGACCTTCCCAAGTCACACCACCAGATATTGATCTGAACAGTGTGTTCATTGACTGCACTGGTGATCCGAAGTGAGCCATGATAGGATGATCATCGGGAGTCCTTGCATCAAGTTCTCGAAAAGTTGCCCGTGCACACATATGTGCACATAGACATCTCTCCTACTGCACGCATCTCCAAACAGGCGCTCTCCTACTAGCAAAAGCTACATCCTCGCAGACAAGCCTCCCGACGAGGTTGTTTTCCAAGGCGTGGTCGATGGCGGCATCACTGAAAAGTATGCTAAATGCATAGATGATGACCAGAAGCAGGACCAAAGACCACACCAAAGATCTGAGGGTGTACAAAATGGAAAACACGAGCACCCGCAAAGCCCGAATGAAACGCAGAACTTTGACCATGCGTATGGCGCGTGCCAAACGCGCAATCTTCATGATCCGCAGCAACCGAAAACCACTGCTCGATGAAGAGGGCTTTGCCTCAATACCTGCCACGACGGCTGCTAGATCGAGAACGGCAGTGGCGGAGACGAGAATGTCCAGCAGATGCCAAGCCCAGTCCGTCGCACAGAAGAAACCCAGTGGGCCCCATGCCGCAAGTCTCAACAAGATCTCCAGTATGAACAAGACGGCATATATCATTTGCAGCGCGAGGAAAACGCCGGGCAAGTCTTCTTGCAAATGCAGTGAAGTCCACTGCGTCTGAACGCCAAGAAAAATGGCGTTGCTGACGAGAACACCTGCGAAGAATGTCTCGAATTTCCAAGATTTTATACAGCTTGTAAAGCGTGACGCTGTCGAAGGATCTTCAATAGCTTCCACGGAAAGTGGCATGCTGGCCGCTTTTTCTACGACAGGCTCCAACGCCCTCAAATGGTCCTGCTGTAAAGAGAGTTGCTCTTTGGCGATCTCGTATGACTTCGAGCGATCGATATCTGTAGCTGCAGCTGCAGGTACTTCCGAGACCCTGCCAGCTTGTAGGGTGATGTCTGCTGTAACAGCTGCGGCAACTGCAGACTTCGTGGCTTCCGGCCTCAGCTACTAGTCACGATCTTGAACTTTGCAGCATGATGTGCTGCATGGAGTGCATGCAGTGAAGACATGACCTGAAAGCATCTCAACACAGCTTGTGGAGTGGAATGGCCCTGAAGTCTAACCGCTCCTCTATTTCTATACCAGCGGGCTCCACTAAGGGCTGGAGACCGGCACTCCGCCGCCCGATCTCGCTCGCGTCTGCGGATCTCATCAGGTGGCCAAAAAGCCTCAGCGGGAGAGGCGGTCATGGCTCGAGTGATGTCCCGGCAGATGTTGATGTGCCCTTGCCGAGAAGCTCCTCGAAGCGACCCATCAACTCTTGATGTTTCTGATCGAGCAATGCCTCCAGGTCCGCATATTCAACCTGCTGAACACGGGCTCCGGCTTCAACTGCAAGCACTATAAGCTACGCGGTTCTGCATGCTGAGAGGCGGACCTGCGCCCGCGCTGCCATGGAAGACGAGCTCTCACGATACGACGACTGGGAATCTAACTTGGAGCAAAGGCGGCTTTGCTGGCGTGGCGCCGTCAGACATGGACAGTGGGACATACAAGCTCGCGTTGCGATACACGGGAATACACGGGTTAAGGGCAGCCGGTTGCCATTGTTGAAGCTGGGAGAGTAGATGCAAGAAATCCCCTCATCTTAGAGATCTTCGAACCCCGGCACGAACCATGCGGTTCAGACGAGCAAGGCCTCAGGTTCTGGTTCTAACTCATCTACCGGGGTCACTCCAGTCGGGAGATCGCTGGCCGGGTACCTCCGCTGCAAGTGTCAGGCTTCAAGCTTAAACCGAAGCGAGAGAGCTGAGACTTACAGGCGATGGCGCACCAGATTTGCTTGGGCAAGTCATCCAGGGGATAGACTGGCCTAAGAGTCGGGCAGTCTCCTTCGACGTTGCGGCAGAAAGTCGAAGAGCGGCGGAAGTCAGACTGACCGAGCGGCTGGAGCAGCAACCCTTTCTGTGGCTCCGGATAGAACCTCCTCCACAGGCGGTGCAGTGCAAGATGAGGACCCATCCCGATCAAAGGCTGAACACCACGTTGACAAGCGAAAGAGGTGGTGGCGCATCCTTCACGCGCTGAAAGTGTCTCCGGCGAGCAGGGTCAACGGAACAGGGTGGTACCACTAGTAGGGCGTGGCTCTTGACACACACCGATGAAATTTCTTAGGCCCCAATGTATGATGTCGTAATGTCAATCTCATTTTTTGTTTCCCCCACGTAATTACAAAATCCAATTCCCTTGGAAACCCCCTGCATTTCTGCATTTGCAGAATCCAAGAGGCCGGAGCGGAAAACATGTAACCAGAATCTTGCTGATTTAGATGAAAGCTCAAAGGCACTGATAAACGACTTGACTTCAATGCCTCTGATGCTGGATCCGGACTCTTATTACGGAGGCTGGGGCTCACATGCTTGGGGGGGTTGGGAGCAGGCCTTTCTTAATACCGAACTACCGGCATCCAAGAAGGTACGTCTTGCAAGGGAGGGCTCCTACATTAAAACATTGCGATTCCGATTTAACGGGCGGTCCTGTTGCTTGCAGGTGTCCGCTCCGCTGCATACTGCTGCGCCTGCACGCCCACTTGACCGGAAGAAATGATGCGCTGGAGTATGCAAGCATGTCAAGCCCAAGTTCCCACGATTCTATGCAGACTTGCACGACTCTTTCATTGCCGGCAGAGCAGCAGAAACAAAGCATCCACTCCCACGCCCTTTTCGCCCAGTCTCACACACTGGCAATGCGGTCAAGGATGCTATGTGTCGAAGTAGCAGGTTGAAACTGACTTAGTTGCTCCAAAGCCCTGTACTCAGGCGGGTTGAGAGTTGTTTACAATCCGCTCAAGTAGTACGGCGGGACAAGCGGAAAATCCAGGAGCAAAAATGCTGGAGATCTCGGCAGAAAGGCTCTTCGAACCTTCTCCGAGGCTAGCTTTGAGGACATGCTCGGACTTGCTAAGTCTGCCACGTTTTGTTAAGGCTCTACTAAACCGTCAAGGCGATGACGGCTCAGACCATTAGACTGAGATCCTGAGACTGCGACTGCTCCATCGTGCACTGGGAGAGAATTTTCCCCCCTCTTCAACCCAGGGGGTCGAGACCCCAAGGCACTCTCTCGCTCTTCTTCTACAGGGTGTAAGGGAGCGAGCGAGGTTTCCCGGCTGCATGGGGCCCCTTGGATATCCCAAGGTTTGAGGGATGTGAAGCGGATCGAAAGAATCTATCGGAGGGCAGACGACATTTAGAATTTTTACTTTGTACACAGGACGCACTTCTTCGCCACGGTTTGAGGGACTGGTCAGGTCCCCCTTACTTTCTGGGGCGTTGGAAGGACTCTCTCTCTCTCTCGTTCTCTTCCTTTTGATTTTTGTAGGGCAAAACAGTCCTTTCACAGACCCCAGCCTCCAGCGGAGCGTCCCGATGTTCGGGCTTTAGGCGCTGGAAAATCTCAGACCGTGGATCTGCCGTTTTGGGCCTGAACCTCCCTGCTGTGCACACTTCGAGCAGTCAGTTTTTTTCCCTTCGCTGATCTCACACACTCCTGCTTGCTCAAGATTTAGAGTGGGGGCATGGCCCCCGCCCGCTTCGAAGGGATCCCAACGTCCTGCGTCCTCCGCATTACACCTTTAACCCGACATGAACGTCTTGCCCCGCCTCGACTCCTGAAACACACCGCTCGCTCTTTCTTCGGGCTGGTAAAGGCACCGGGTGGCATGGAAGGGGCTCAGCCCGCCATGTAACCTGACAATACCTCAATGATTGGACTCTGGACTTCTACAAAGCGGATGCCTTCGCCATGGAAATCTTCTTTTTGTTTCTCTCTCACTTCACTTCACTCGGGTGTTCGAGGAGCTTGTCAGGCTCCCCGCGCCGAAAGGCGCGCCAATGCGTCGGGGCTTTGTAGGGTAAAAGGACGAGCACGTCGGAACAAGACATGGTTGCCCGGTGTGTTACAGCAAGAAGCTCCCCTTCCCGTTTGCGTGCATCGGCTGATGTTACTGCACTATGCGAATGATTGCATTCCAGCCACTGTTGAGCTGACACCAGCTTCGAGTAGTGGCCATTCAGATCCATCAACTGCTCCTGACATTCGCAGGAACTACTACCTGCAGGGTGGCCACACAGCCCACGAAAACAAGGGGATAAGTTGCAAGGAAGCTGCATGTCTGCCCGTTTCTACAATCTCGCCATGGCTGAAGACGCAAATCTGGTCGGCACTTCGGACGGTGGACAACCTGATCGCAACTTCACCTAACCTGGTTTCGCAGCGCAGCTCGGAACTGAGTTGTGCCTGTGCGCGATAATGATAGTTGTGCGTGGCTTGGATCTCACCAGCCTTAGCTGCCTAGCTTGCAACATGGCAGACAAGAACAGAACGAACCGACGAAACGCAAGCAAAGGCCTTCATGCCAAGGAGCCGGTCCAATGCATCCTGGACCAAGCGCTCGCTGACGGCATCTAACGAACTCGTGGCTTCATCGAGCAGCAAGACCTGGATCCGAGCGTGCTGCGGACGAACACTCGCTGAAGCAGCGCAGCGCAGCCACCAAGATGCGTTCACCAAGATGAACTCTTTCCTGCCTGCCTGACTTTCAGATTAAGCTCTTCGCCTTGTGCTTTGCTCGCTTCTCGCTTGCTATGTCTCTTCTCTCGCTTCTTCCTTCCTTGCTGTCTCCCGTCAAGCTGTCACATGCGGCCCGAGCAGCAGCCGGATCACGCAGCAAAGCGCGAGCGATTGCGATGCGCTGCTTCCTAAGAGAGACTAACCGTACCAACCGCACCGGATGTGTGCAGCTGCGAACTGCCTCCAGCTGTTGATCGCATCGATAAGATCAGGGAAGTTGCGGACGAGGCACTGTCCGCCACTCAGATGTGCGCCGCGATGGCCTGCCTGCGTGCTGAAGCCCTGACAGGTTAAGGAAGCGGACGCGGCGCACACAGCAACACACTGCAACATGCAATTCTTGCACCGTTGCCTGGGGCATGGTGTTCAGGAAGTCCGTGGCATTGGCAGCCTTCGCGGCAGCCTCGACCTCCTCCATGGTTGCCTCCTGCCGTGGCGATGTGCATCTAACGCCATCCAACAACACACTTGCATCATGTGCGCAAGTAAGCTGATCCTGCTGCCCGTAGCGGATGTTGTCCAGAATGCTGCGCGAAAAAAGGATCGGCTCCTGCTGTACCATGCTCCTCGATCACAGCTGCTGGATGTGATGGCAACAATTACACTGGGCCCGCCATGCTTCATTCTAAGCTAAACCAAGGCTTAACCGTCCACATCTACTGGCTGAAACTGGTCAAAGGTCATTTGCGCTCGAAGCCAGGCCAAATTCAAGTTGCGCAAGTCGTGGCCATCAAAGAGGATGCATCCATCTCGGCTTCAAAGAAATTGAATGCAAATTTGTGCGACACTCGTTTCCACAAATCTCTGTCCGTACGACGCAGGTGTCCACCGGAGTATTGAATTTTAGAAAGGCCCAGGCCGAGTGGATCATAGAAGCGCTGCAGCAGACCAACCTGCGCAGAAGCCCTCGAAGCAAGACAGGGGCCAGCTTCGGGCTTGGGGGGACCATTGCCGTGCTTGTGCATCTCAAAGTCAAATCCCAACTCTCAGAGGCCAAGTAGCAGCCGTACTCTTGCCACAGCCACTGGGTCCCACGAGCGCAGTTGTCGTACATGGCTCGATGGTGAAACTCAGCCCGTTGAAGACGGCAAGGTTCGGCCGCGTTGCGTAGCGGAAGTGGACCTGGCAGCATCCAGCTACAAGTAAGAGTAACAGCAACTGAGAATGCAACGTGGGCACAGACAACTGCAGGCAGATCCTTGCCTTGCGGAACTCTACCTTGCCGCTCGCTTGCTGTAGCTTGAGGCCCTCGTCGGAGAAGGGGTCGATCTTCGACTTCCTCGCGATGATGTTGAAGACCCGGCGAGCCGACTCTTGAGGCAAGCTGGTGTCGGTGACAAGGCGTGCAAGTTCACCAAAAGCACTGATAGTGGTGACCAAAACCATGATCACAATTGTGGCTATGTCCACCTGCATCATGCCCCGGGAGATGAACACGTTGATGCCAAAAACTGCCATGGCCAGGATCATGAAAACACCCGCCGATGCAACTCCGGTTCCCAGAGCGGAGATGCGTCTAATGCGCTGTTCGTCCTCCATGTGGCTCTCGAGTTTGGTCTCATACTTTTCCATGAGCCGACCCTGCAATCCGAAGGCCGTCACGGTCTTCACACAGTTCACGGCCTCGGACACCACTCCACTGGAGTAGTCGCCATCGATCTTGCGCATGTTCAGTCCGACACCAATCGCGCTGATACCCAGCAGTGGTATCAATATGAGTATGCAGAGGCAAAAACGCCAGCTGAAGTACATTGCTACCCCCACTCCGATGATTGTTGTGAATCCGAAGTTGGCAGCGGCTGCAATGTTGGCCTGGCGATGGCCCCACAAGGATCACCGAAAAGGGCGTGAATTGGCTCTCAACCCATCCCAAACCCCCACAAACCACCACAGCCCAAACATTTTTCTCCGAGCTGCGCCCACGAGAAGCTTCAAGCTCGGAACATCGGCGCCGAGCTTCCACAGCAAATGAGCGGTGCCCTGCTTGTCGTGCCAAGAGATCTCCTGGACCCGAAACACAAAGCACAGATGGCAAAACCCCTCGATACCCCTCTTCGCTCCATGAACATGGGCCCGCGGGCATGGGATGGGCCTGGCGGAGGAGGGCCTCGAAGAAGCGCGCTCGGACTCGGAGTGTCAGCAGCTCACCCGCTTTAGCAAAGGCCCAGGAGGCTCCAATCGCCTGCCTTGGATCCCGATACCGCGACAAGCATAAACCCCAAGGTTCGATAGCGGTTTGGCCACGGCGATGGGAGCTCTGAAATCTCTGCTAATCTTTTTCGAAGCTGCAAGAGCCAGAAGACGCTGAGTGCCTGCATCAGCATGCAGAGGTTGGTCACGCTGGCTGCGATAAAGGGCTCGTTGTAAGCTGCGTACCTCAATTTCGATCTTCAGGGCGCAGCTGTGGACATACGAAGAATGTCAAGTGCGGAGTTTTGGCATGCCCAGCCGGCGATCACACATTGTGATACTGAGGCTCCTGCCAATTGTGGGACACGGGGTCCAATACTGCAGGAGGCTGGTTGAAAATGTTGATCGTCCGAGCAAATTGCACGGAAAAGTATGGCATCACCATGGAACCTCGGCGGATCCAAGGTTTGCATAGGCTTCCTGGCCATTTCCCGTCACGGATCCGTTACAGTTCGTTCTGACAGCACCTGCGCACTCTTCTGAGCGGGTGGGGCGTGCCAGTCCCCACAGCATAAACACGAAGCTAATCTACATTATGCCATTCAGCAGGTGCTGCATTCAGGATTGCAGGCATGGATGGGTCCACTACGGCCACTACGTGCAGGCTTTCCTCTGGCGCTGCGTGCCGTGATTGTGCCGACCCCGAAAGCCCCCTCGTGATTTGGGTGCAGCAAAGCGTTCCAGCGGCCGGGGCCCGAGTTGCTTTTCGTTTTGCCCTGCGCCTCGCGGCCTCGCGCACGGCGCCCTGCCCGCGCCCCGCGCCCCCTGCCCTGCCCGGTCCGCGCAGTATTTTGGTGGATGCGAGCCCCGAGAGATTGGTGCTGTCTGAAGCCATGGTCCAAAGTAGGGAGTAAACGCAATTCAGACTGGAGCTGAACGCAACTCGAGCTCTGCTCACCGACTGCCACTGAGCCGTGAACCTAACAGTGTGAAGCCAACCCCGATCATGTAGTACTTGTAGTCCTGTTTGGACATTTTCCAAACCTCTTTGACCGCAAAGGCTGTTCCCAGATCTTTTTCGAAGTCATAGGACTTGGCGAGCTTCAGGCAGCGATCTTCAGTTGTTTTACCTGCACCATGTTTCGCTCCCAGTGACCTCTGCACGCGACCCTGCAAAAAAAGCCTGGGGCTTGGTCATTGGCATCCGGCTCCTGCCCACCACATGGAATGGAGTCTCAGTTGCAGCTGACAGATCACAACCACGCGTTTCCCTGGCAAACAAGTCCCAAGTCCCTTTCGTATCCCTGCAGCGCGAATGGCGAAATTCAAGCACTGCCTTGGAGGACGTCGCTTCCAGGAGTTCCTGGGCCGCGCCAGGTGCTGCAGGTGCCGGAGCAGGTGCCTCATGTTTCGGACAGCAGGAGAACACAATTCATTTCACGGTATTCCACCTGGGCCGGCAAAACCGCGGTGGTCTCCGCCTTCTCTGCAGGCGGCACGTCTGCATCCTGCGCAGCATGCAGGATGATGCAGGAGCGAGGGCGGGTACTCGTCCAACTACATCACGTGTGTCTGGAGGCCTTGGATGCGGACATCTGCAGGCTCAATAGCTTCTCATAAGCGCCTTGCTTGGACATCAACTCCTGTCAAGCCGTGTCTCTGCTGCACATAGCCTTCCCAACTCGCACCGTGAAGTGATGTCCTCGTGCGTCCCTTGCTCCACGACTTTCCCCTTGTCTAACACACAGATCTGGTGTGCATTGCGGACAGTGGACAGGCGGTGTGCGATCACCTTAATGCGCACAGGAGCATTTCGGAACATCGCGTTGATAGTCGTTGATTGACTACAAGAAGAAGGGGTTCGAAGCCAAGCTGCGATTGTTGTTCGTCCACCAACTTCCAATAGCTCGTCCAGCGCCTTCTGGACGGCTCGCTCTGATGCCGAGTCCAGCGCACTGGTGGCCTGTGCGAGGATTCTGGCCCCATCTCTGCGACGAATTGCACCAAGAAGGGGTTACATGCACAAGGCCCAGCGAGGCCTCGTCCAGCAGCAACACAGCCTGGCAAATTCTTTGAAAGTGAGAGATGCATGCTGACTCCAGTGACTGGTCGTCGATGTTGACTGGAATCAACGAGCTCCAATCGCATGCAGCCGCAGCACAGGCTTCCGGATCAAAGCACGGGCGATGGCCAATCGCTGCTTCTGGCCGCCGCTTAGCTGTGCCCCAGCTTCACCCACCTCGGTAACATGAGTAACATGCGATGACTCTGCCGCGCGCGACCTGCTGTATTGATGAGTAATTAGCAGGCAAGCTGCCATGGTCTGATAACCTCGAGGAAAAGTAGAAATGAAGTCGTGGGCGCTCGCCTAGGAAAACATGAAGGGGTGCATCCAAATAATGACCAGAACCTAGTGGCAAAAGTTCTTTGCTGCATGTCTTTCCTGGAGACTACGGTCACTCTCAGATGCTGGCCAGAATTGCTGCCTGGCAAGAGGGGAGTGATGCAACATGATGCAACGCAAACTCTACTGCTTTCGCATTGCGAAGCTTTCCTCCACACAACGGCGCAGAGAAAACTCGCGCATGGATGTGGCAAATTTCTGGAAAGCTCTGCCGAAGGGAAGAGGAAGGCAAATAATGAGCAAGTCAACATCAGACACATGCATGCGGCATTCTGTTCAACTGCTGCAACGGCACGAAGCTCTTGCGGAGTTGCCTGCTCCACGTCGGCTTTCGTGACGGAGTTGGCGCTGCCGGCTGCAATGTTCTCGTAAATTGTATCTTGGAAGAGGACAGGCTCCTGCTCTTACCATTGCGATTCCATGCTGCGCAGGATCTCACACTGAGCTCTGTCCTGTTCGACGAGCGCGAGTTTGGACCGGAACCATTGGAGTTCCAATGTGCGCACATCAGTGCCTGTGACGGTGTAACGGGTCTTGGAATCCACTAGAAGCTGCGCCGGCCAAGGCACCGTCAAGGCAAACCGTTCCAGTCTTCGGCTCGTAGAAACGCAGCAGCAGGCCGACAAGTGTACTCCTCGATGTTCAAGCTGCTACAGCCGTTCTTCCAAGTAGTTCTCAACAAAAATAAAGTTAGGAGCTGTGGCAATCCTAGTGATTCAGAGCCGATCTGTGGCTCCGAACCGTGGCCCGCAAACGACAAAACAGCGACAACGCAGACGAACAAACTTTTGGGATGCACCGGCAAATTTGGGATGCACGGTTGGCCGGATTCAGACGGACTCCCATGGAGTTGTTCGTGGTTGACTTACGCACTAGGGCCTTAGGTGCTCTTGCAACATGCCAACCGATTCCTCCGCTGTGCACAACCTTCCGTCTCTCGATGCCAACCCTGCAAACCGGCCTTGTGACACATTCGTGTAACAGCACCAGAACAAGGGGTCCCTAGTCGCCAAAAACATACAGCTTCCTATCTTAAAGCATAGCTGGCATAGCTGCTATAGCTGGAAAGCATGGGAACCATCAGTGCATCTCAGTCGCTGCCCTTCTAATGATGCTAGGATATGCTCATCCCTCCCGCCCTCCCTTCCCGCTTCTTGGGACTCCCGGCTTCCCAGAACCGCTGCCACCCACGAAGGCAGTGGTACAGTTGGCCTTGATCTCCAATGTCACGCCCTTCAGAACCAAGGACTCCTTGGCTTCGCATTCCAATCGTCTCCGGCGTGAGAACTACGTTCCAATCATGGTACCAGTAATTATCAAACGGTGGGTGGTTGCTTTCGATGTGGCACCTGACGGAAACTCAAGCGAAAGATCTACTGCTCAACGACCTGGAGTCCGTGCGCTTTGGGTAGGCGAAAAATACGTCGGAGAAGATGATCTCACCCTCCACGTGGGGAAGAATCTTGCCACCGCCTCTGCAATTCTGTCAGAGAGAGTATCGTGACCATGTCAGATGCATGGACCCTTCCTTGGTCGCCTACATGCCTACAGAAGCCCAGGCCAGCAATTTATGCTTTCGTTTGCAAAATGCCCTGCGTGACTCACACTGCAACCTGCAAAAGTCCAGAGTCGATGCTAGGGCCGCTTAGGCCCCGACTTGTAGCACTGAGTGGTTCATCCAGAATTGTGCCAATACGGTGCATTGCAGCTCGCGCATTTGCAAAGGCCACGAAGCACATGTTCATGGTGCCCAAGCCCATCGTAAATCCCCAAATGATCGTGTACCTCGAATGCTGAAGCTCTGCCTGCACATCGCTACAATTGCTCGGTGCGCAACATTTATGATCAATTCGTGCTCCGCTGCATAGCTGACATAATCGTGCCACCGGTCCGACAATTTCCAAATGGCGGTGATGCCCGCCAGCAGTCCTTCAGCCGCATCACATCCCCACTAGGAGTAGGATGCTGGGATGACCTAAACCGTGGCCCTCATGACTTCTTCGACAGGCCGAGAGGCGGTTTCGTAGTCTTGCAGCACCCACTGGGAACCGAAGTATACGCCCAGGGACATCCCCGTAATGAGCACCTGAACTGCGGTGAGTTCTGACCCTGGGAATGACCCCAAGGCATGTCCTTTAAATCCGCCAGAGGAGCCGTGTTGACAAGGCCAGTGGCATAGCCGGCGACAACCCCAATCCTTGGCCAAAGCACAATGACCATCGACAGCCTTGCACGGAAATACTTCCTCCGAGGCGTACTAAGCCTCCGTCTGGATGGCATTGATGTGAGCCTCGTCTACATGCCCATTGAAGGCTTCCAGCTCCAGTCGCTGGCCATTGAAGGCCGTCACTGTCTTGATGAGCTCGGTAGCAGTTACCTCAGCTCTGTCGTGCTACGTCGGGATCCGTTCCTGTGCTCGGGTGCATTCGATGCATACCTGAACTTTGCCAAGACACCGCCACCTGACCCGCCTTGGCATAGCAGGCCTCGACCACGGTAGAGAAGTTCCGCACCACTTCGACGGACAAAGCCATGCACATTCCTGCAATGGGCATGATGATGGCCATGAGAATGCTGACCTTCCAGTCGCGACTGCAAGCAAGAACCTCGGCCCGAGAGAGCTGAGTGGAGCTACCCGAGGCTGTGCAGTCAAAACCCCGGCTGCGGCTGTGGAACTGTAGCTGACACGGCCATGAAGCAGGCTCGAGTGAAATCGACGAGTCGCTCCCCGATTCCATCCCGGAAAAGGTGCGTGTCTTGCACAAGCTGTGGAGCCAGCTCGGAGGCATTGTGCATGTCGTGCCAGCTTGGACCTTGCATCAAAATCTGATAGAAATACTGTCGTCGCGCTGCCACCACCTGTCGATCAGCTGCCTTGATGACCAAATAGCATCCGCCAGTTCTTGCGACCAAGACCACGAGCGCGAGCAGCACGTAAGTCAGGCCGACCTCTGCTACCTTCGAGTCTCGGATGGTGTGCGGCGCATGGACAGGTGGCAGGGAACCATCGTCATTCGGCATGTACACCGCTTGATAAAGGTCGGACAGGAAGAAGAAGGCCATAGGCATGCAAGAACCATGCACGGCGCCCAAAACCATGGCAAGCGTAGTGCATATCAAGTCCTTGCTGGTTACAAACACACGCGCACACACGCACACACATCGACAGATAGACTCGTCTGCACCCTTGGCTTCAGCTCGGTGGCCCATGGGCGCGCGAAGCGGAAGAGTGCATTGAAGGAAGCTCTCACCTTTGCATTGTTGTCGGTGACGGTTTGATCGTGGCTCAACAAGCTCAAGGACTCAAGGCAGGTGGGTCTCTCCTAGCCTCCTCTTCCTTCTTCGGCTCTATCGACTCGTCGCCACTGGACACGGACATCGCATAGTCGTCGATGGCGCTGGTGCTGCCTAGCACGTGCAGAATGCTTCGCATGCAAAGCACCGCTGAGATTCAAATCTGCCAACCAGCTGCCGGGTGTAGTAGCATTCTCGTCAACTCTATCTTCAAAGCCTGTCTCCAGGTTCTCACCTCAGCAACATTGACATCGTGACGTTATCGAACATCCCAGAGCCAGACCGACTCACGCCAAGCAGCTCAGGGGTGGTGTTGCTGTCGAGGTCGTATCCAGGCCGGGTGACAAGTTTCCAGGCAGTCCGACCTCCGATTCTTCGGGGAGAGCACATTTTCCTCTAAAGCTTGGGCAGCGTGGGCAGCTTGGGCCTGGTCATCCTTGGCCGGGCCGAAGGTACGGTGGAAGAAGTTCAAAGAGACCAGGGCGAGGATGAGAATCGACCCCCCGGTAATCGGAAGCGCCAGGGAGGCCCTAGCATACTCCACTTCGTTTTCCTCTAGCCAGGAATAGCCCGGCTGGACATCAAAAGGGTCGGACTTCTGGGCTCTTAGCGCTTTTAGCGCCGCTTGGCGGAGCAGCTTGAGAACCCCTCGGCCCATGGCGTTCTGGTTCTTTCTCTCAGATTCAGTTGCGACAGCTAGCACCACGCCCTTGAAGAGCTTGTCGATTTGGGTCTCGTTGAGGTTCAGGTCCTGAATTAGCTGCAGCATATGCAGCTCAGGAAGCACCCAAGCATGATTCATGCGATGTACAAGTGTATGAGCCAGGAGTCATTGAACATCAAGTGCCTTAGGCGAGTGTCAGGGTGCAAAGGGTGTCTAACGGCAAGGGAAAGATCGAGGGCACGAGTGACATCACGATTCCGGCAGTAACACTGTGACCGATGCTGTCAAGCTTCTCAAGAGCCTGCAAGGCTTCATTGCCATTGGTCTTTAAGTCAATGGTCATCGAGTCGCTGGACATTGACAACGACGAATTCGACTTCTCGTTTGCAGTATCGGATTTTTCTATCAGGGAGGCGGTAAAGATGGACCTGTCTTCCTCGTTGAGCTTCGAATCTTGAGATCGCTCCTGAAGAAGGCTCGTGTGCCACGGGACTGGACTGACTAGGCAATGCGGTGCAGGTGGATTCACTGCCGGCACGTGCCAACCCCGTCCTTGGCACTTCGCGCATGGACGGCAGCTTGCAAAGCACCAAGACCACATGCGTTAGAGGCACCCCTGGAAAGGCGAAGACGAAGACCCTCACAAATTTAACAGTTGCTCTAATTACAAGGCCTATCGCAGCTGTCGTCAGCGGACAGCGCAGAAGACACTTGGACATTCAGGGTCTTTTGCACATCTGCCTGCAGACACAGATAAGATCTAGAAACAAAGACAAACGACCAAGAGCATAGGCATAGACCAAGGCGTGCAGACCCGTAGCAAATACGGCCTCTGCCAGAGGGGTGAGCGGCAAAGCGGGCAAAAGAATGAGACAGTGCTTCAGCACCTCGGATACTGTTAGGAATGCGACGGCCCAAATCTGGCACGTCATGTCTGGTGAAGCACTGAGGAAGGCACGGATGTGAATGTCATAATGACCTCGGCAGCTGGGATCTCTGCAGTCACCCGAAACATGCCGCATCTTGACCAACGCAGGCTTTTGACTCTCACTGCTCGCATGGGGCAAGGGCTGAAGGTCAAGCCAAGATGCTGTTCGGATGTGATGGATATGAAGTTCTGTGCCGCAAGGGTTCCAGCAACAGATTCTCTCTGAGCCGGTGGCGTCAGCATGCTTAAGGCTCAAGCTTTTCCAGCTAGTTCAACCAAAAACGGAAAAGCTCACCATCGCTTAAAGTCTAATGCGATGGATGCAGCAGCAGTGGCGTTGTTGACGACAGAGAAACCCCCCGAGCAAAGAGTCTCCGAGAGGCCACGTGTCAAGGTTGCGGCAAGTGTAGGCATGTCAAGGGTTCTTGTTTATAACATTCGTGCACTTCGACAAAGACAGTTTCCTGTCAAGCATCGGCTTCAAGCCCTTGCCAACTTGGGTGGACAGCAGGTTGACCGCTTGGAACGGCGGTGGCTTGGCAACAAGACGATCATCAAAGCAGAGGCTTTGCAAGTGATGTGCTCACCCCTTTTCGAATTTGTGTTCGAGCCCCGGCACAGAAGCCCTCTATCGAAAAGCATGGACGCATGCAGCACAGCAGAGAGGATAGAAAACGGCGCAGTGCTTGCACAGCACCTCGTGGAACCAGCTAGAGAGGCTCTCCTGGTTCCAGTTCTGAACCTGCACATGGGTCGGTTATCTAAATCCACAACGACTCTGCAACGGACATGGTCGCGGGGGCCTTTCTGGGAGGTGGAGGCTCTCGTCTGGTGTGCTTAGAGATCGTAGGGGCGCCTCCCAGAAACAGCCCGGCGACTTGATCCAGCTATGCCGTGTCATCTTGCCTCCGAGCTCGCTTACCTTCTGACCCAAGCCGCTGGTCGCGAGATCATGAAGAACCAGTCTCGCCTGCATGCAATGGTCGGGTTTGCAGTTTCGTGTTATGCGCATCTTGACGTCCATCCTCAAAGAGTTCTTGCGGATGTAGCCCGGGCCTTGGAAAGCTGAATGCGCGCCTGGGGTTCTCAGACGAATGAATTCTTGGGGCCGAGCACCCCTGGGGGCTGCAGCTCCGGCACCTTGTCAGACTTCTTCCGCTTTCTCAAGGAAGCGTGGCTCACATAATCTCAATCTCACGCCTTCAAGAGAGCCTCCTCCATATCCTCCACTAGGGTTTGTGCCTGCAAGCCGTGCCTCTTCATGTGCCACTGACACAAAGCACATAGTCGGCAGCGACGCCTGTGTGTTCTGTTGCATCAGCTGCTTCTCAATGACTGCTTGCCGCTCTCCCCGAGCATTGGCACCTGCATCCATGTCAATCCGATACTCTCGTCGCAAGGCTCACGTCTGACAAGGGACTGCAGGCTTTGGGTCTGGGTCTACGGCGTGCTTCCTTCCGGGCAAGTTTGGACTTCATCTTCCTGAGCTAAAGTACAGCTCTACAGATGCTCCACCATCGCAATAGAATCACTAGAATGCAGCCAGCATGAATGCCCGAGGCAGCGCCAGCATTCTGCTTGTCAAGGCTCTCCTTCCTGACCCTCTCCTCCATGGCAAAACTGAGCACCAAGTCATTGATTTACTGACGACTGCCAGCCGCTTCTTTGCACGCCTTCTCAGCTTTGATGAGCCGGGCTTCCTCAGCAAGTCGCCCTGCCTTCTGCCGTTCCACCTCTCAGGGGTCGGAAACGGGCCAAGAACTGCTCAAGATAGGTTCAGGCTGTCCGAGTCCGTGCCTCGAATTGCCACTCTGCTGGGGGTGCTGAGATGCCTTTGTACACCCTGCGCTGCGGCAGCTTGTGTCAATGGAACCCCTGACCTTTTGATCGCAGAGTTTCGTAACGAACGCGCCTGTTCATCGCCATGACCTTGAACACCGCTGCCTGCACAAAGCTAAAGGCGACGCCAGGAGTTCTCTCCACGCCGATTTTGCATCTGCCTTCATCTTTTCGACTGGAGTGCGAGCGCCCAAGTGGTTTGTCTGAGCAGGATCCCAAGCATCTATCTCACACAACAAAGCCGCAGATTGGCACACGGCCCACACCTTGAGCAGACCGTCCTTCCACTCCGGCCGATTCCACTCCATTCGCCTCGCCCCGACGCGCATAACGCGCATACCGAAACATCCTACTCCCGATTTAAACGAGATGCGTCGGGTTGACTAGGCCACGGTACTGCTGAGCACATTGCTGAGAACCAGCCTCACGCCGGAGAACTTGACGCCCACGTCAGTGCCATAAGCATAGCGCCTGGCACATGGATTTGAACCCGTCGACGAACCCATGCGTGCACGATGGCCGCTGAAGGTTCACCTCTCAGCCTTCGTGTCGTCCCATCGGCTCTGCACCTTGAAAAACGATGACGCATGCACATGCCGCTCCGATCAGGATTTCGTCCAAGATCAGGGGCTGCGGCATATCCCGAAAGAGATTCTTGGGAGTCCTGCACACTGCAACAATCTGCAACATCCCCCCCGACTTTCAATCAGCATGAATTCACGCCCGGGGCCTGAGACTCCGCCTCTGAGAATTCCTCGGGCTCGTAGGGTCTGTATCCCTGCACCTCAGAGTCCACGAAAGCGGCTTACGGCTTCGTGCACACGCTCGCAAAAACCAAAGAAGCAGAATCAAGCTGGGAGGCAGGCTTCGGCTGCACGAAAGGCGGACAAGTCGAAGTCACCGATCTGCGCAGCTCGGGAAGTTGGGGCTGGCGGGCCATGCTCAAAGGCTCAGCTTCGGCTCCGCGATCTGGGCTCAAGGCTTCACCAGAGAAGCGCTTCAATGCAGGCCGGTGGCCCCAAGCTTTAGCTCCAACCGAGGTCGGCCCATCTGGCCTCCGCAGGAACGCTTGGCATGGGCAACAGGGCGAATGGGCGAAGCAGCCAGGGAAAGCGGAGCTGCGGCGGCTGCAGCCGGGCCTGTACTCGGCTTGAGCTCGAGCTCGAAGTGCCACCCTTGGCGCTACACTGAGCTGGTGAGCCGCTGTGGGTCCCCCTCTCTACAAGCCTAAGGCCCCAACGCCCAGGGCTCATGAAGCTGATAAGTAGGCATCGGTGGAGGGATTTGGCTAATTCGCGGCGACCTGCTGTTGATGCCACCATGGATCACCGTTTCCACAGCGCTCTACAACGACCAAGGGCCGAACGCCTTCGGCTTCGGAAGAGCTTTGGGTGGTGGGGGCTTTGCTGCTGCCGGGGGTCCTTTGGCTTTCGGCACCTGAAACTGGAGAAAAACAAGCTGACATCGCATGCCGCCTTGGAAGACACATCTAACACCAAAAGTTCATTGCATGACACTCCTGGTTCGTGATGCCGACATCAGCTTATGAGGCAAAGATTCAGACGCACTATCCGTCACAATCCCCTGGGGCAAGCAGGTGCATTGGCAACATGTGAAACAGGGCCGCCGGGCCACGCATTGATCGAAGAAGTCTCCAATGGTGCCGCTTGGTACCGTGTAGTGCCATGCATTTCTGTACTTCCCAGCCAGCCGCTGTCCCCCACTAAACACCAGGGCATGATTCAGGCAGCAGTCTCAGCTCTCTAATTGCTGGAACAAGAGCGAGCAACTGGCACCAAGAAGAGACGGAAGGGAAAAAGCAAAGTACTACGAAAACAAGAACATGGGTGCTCTTATAGTTCAGAGCATGGTCGTAAACGCTAATCAGCTTGCACAACGCAACCGCAAACGCGAACAAACACACCTACCTTCGTCAGACCTTCTTGAGGATACAAAACTTTGTCATCATTCGCTCCGAACTAAGCCCAGATCTTGCTTGATGCAAGTCAACCCGTTGCGCTGCTGCGAGCTGCTGAGATTTCAGCGCGTCTTTGGCATTCTTCTTTCCGGTAGCTTGCTAGGGCTCCTAGGGCTGCTAATGTTACTGAGCCATTCCAGTATGGTTTCAGCAACCACAACAAGGGCAAACGGCAACAGCGCGGTCAGCACCGACCAGCTGAAGATGCATGCAAGACATTTAGCAGGGGAAGCCAGGAAAGGACAAAGACAGGGCAAGTGCAAGACCGTCGACGACACCACCACCACTGCCAACAACAATCACAACAACCACAACCACCACCGCGACCACGACCACCAACAACAACAGCAGCATGCGACCAGTCTGTCTGATAGTACTGAGGTGAACATGGTGAGGAGCCTCAACTGCTGCATGGGCAGGCAAATTATGCTTCCCCTGTGTGCGCTGTAGCTGCACCCGGAAAGGTCCTTGTGCGCCTGGAGTTCAGGGTTCTAGTTGAGTGGGCCTGCCTATGGTCAAAAGCAACTTCACACCAAGCCGGTTGGACATGTGCTTTTAAAAAAACTGAACCGGTGCGTGTAGGTACTGTGTCCTCGTGTTGCACTGCACTGCTGCCTGTCCTCTTGTCATCGGTGTGCGCATGTCTTGCTGCACCCGAAGCTTCAATGCAATAACTACGTGTCACGCAAGCCAACACAGCAAATGCTGCCTCGTGCATGTGGAATTGGCGTTTTCCTGAAAAGCTTGACGTATGTCAGTGGCAAGGTTGAACAGCAGCAGCGACAGCAACAACAACAACTGCTACTGCTGCTGCTGCTGCTGCTGCTGCTGCTGCTGCTGCTGCTGCTGCTGCTGCTGCTGCTGCTGCTGCTGCTGCTGCTGCTACTGCTGCTGCTACTGCTATCGCTATTGCTAATTCTGATGCTGTTACTACTACTACTACTACT